AACCAGTGGTTGCAATCATTTTTATATGACGCAAAGATGGTAGCAACCATCATCAAAAGTTGCAGCCGGTATCCTTAAAGGGACTCAGCATTTTTTTAATTTCATTATCAAACCACTCAAAATCATCATCAATTTCAATTTCTAAATATCCTCCAACTAGAGTTGGCACCTGTAATGTAAAATTACGGTATTACGGTGTTGCAACTTGTGTTGCAACTAACCGTAATGTTGTAATATTTATTATACAAATAAAAAGTATGATCCTTACTTTTCTAATGATATCGTTTCTTTTCTCCCACGAATATAATAATTAAAGATGACTGATAACAAAAATAAACTTGGACCAAAATATATTGATATTTAGTAATATTTTACACGTGGTAACCATCTTGGTAATGGACATTACCAAGTTACGTGTAAGCCATGTACATTCTTGTGTTAACCAATGTTCAAAAGCATTTGAACTATCAAAAATGAAATAAATGAATTGATTTTACAAAGTCTACATTTTCTAAACTCTTGAACATTCTGGACAATGTCATATTGATGGTTATTTTGTTCAGTTGATTTAGAAGAATCATGCATTATCTTTCCGCCTTGTAGAAACCCCATCTTTCATTGATTTTTTAAAAGCATTAAATCTTGGATATCAACCTTCTTCAAGAAAAGCGATATATACGAAAATGGAGATCCACATTCTTATTTACTGTAATTAGATGATGAATAGATAAACGAATTCAAATTTTTTGTGTTTATGTTTATAATAATAATGTTTTTAAAATGGTCTAACTGCATCGTGTTTATGTTGCAACACTATGTATAATATGTAAAGTTACGGGTATGTTGTAACATTGCGGGTATGTTGTAACATTACGGTTTTGTTGCAACATTGCAACATTTGATATTTGATTACGAGGGACAAGCTTGCCTCCAACTTCATTACTTGAATCTCCTTCAACCACATTATTTGATAATTCCTCAACACCTAAATTCTCTACATCATTATCATTATTGAAAGCTTCAATATTTACTAAATTATTTTTATTTGATGTTTTGGTTTTCTTAGCAGCTGCAAGTTCTTTACATAATTTAATTTTTCTTTTAAGTTTTGGCATTGCTTTGTATATATATATAAAAAAATATGAAGGTTTATTATTATTGAAGAATGTACAAACTTTAATTTACATGATTTTAAATTTACTTGATTTTTATAGGTCACATGTTGTGACCGGAATTAGAAAATTTTGCCATGTATAACAAGTTGGACCAAAACTATATGTTTCAAACTTGGAAAATTTTATATGTAACATATAAAAATCAGATGATTTTTAAAAGCTAATAACTTCAGAACCAATAATTTTTTTAAAAATATCTAGACGATAGATTGTAGAACTAGTCAAAAGCTATCAAATATCATCTTTAATTTTTTCAGACAAGCACACAATATTTTCTTTATAGGTTTTAAAGTTGGTCAATTTTTATTTGATGTGTTAGTGTGACCCGCACTATACAGTGTGGAAATTTCCTTTTTTTGTTTAGTTTCCATGTTGTATAAAAACTATATTAACTAGAACTTGTTGCTAACAATGCTCAAATAATACTTGCTTTATTTTAAAGAATACACTATACAAAGAAAGTCTCCCCTTTTTTTTTAGAGCGCAAGATAAAGGAGAAATTAGAAAACAATTAGTTTGTGTGATCATTATTATTATTTATATATGGGGCATACTGCAACAAAACCAGACAAAGTGAACATTGGTATTACCAAGAATTTCAGGGATCAAAATTTAGTCATTTGTAATGTGATCATAATTAATATCCCATTTGTTATCTTAAGTGATATATAGAACTATCCCTATATAAAAATAGTTAATATGAAACTCATTTACATCAGATCTACCATGGAACCTAAGAATTACAGCACCATTAGAAGTATTTTGAAAAAAGAACAAGGTGAGAAAATTGCTCCTTACATTTTCAAAATAAATGATACTCAAACACTGGAAACTTATCTAAGAAAAGAAAGGATGAAGAAAGAAAAATAATAAATGTTGGAAAAAGAAAGCAGCATGATGATACATTATTACCTAATAAAAAGCAAAATCTTTAAAAGGAAAATAACTATCATTTTCTTTGATAGTTGGAATTATACAGAGGGAATTACCTAAAATTACTTTTTTATTTTCAATCAAGGTCACTTCTTAGTTTCTTTAATTTCAATTTGTGCAGTTAATTGACCATTCTGTTGTTGTAATTGGGTTGATTGAGCTTTTAAATCATTGATTTCTTTTAATAATTCTTGTGGAGTTAATTCTTTTAGTTGTTTGTTTTCTTCTTCTAGTTGCTTAATTCGATCTAATAGTTCCTGTTTCTGTCTTTTATGCCAATCTTCAGCCACTTCTAAGGCTTCTAAGTGTGTATCTACTTCCTCTTCTAACTGTCTTTCCTTTTCTTGCAAGCCATTTATTTGCTGTTCGTAAAAAAATGCCATTCCTCCATTTTGATGAGGTAAAAGAGGAAGTTCTTTTTCATTTTCCTCTTCTTTGCAATCACAAGTATATCTAGTCTTTAACCTTCCACAATCACACTTAGGCAATTTATCATTTTCAAACTTCTCTTTACAGTTTTCACAAGCCTTATCACTTTCAACCATTTCACCAGTCACTTTGCTTTCCATTCTGATTTGACAAACTGCTTTTTTCAAACCAGGACAGAAAACACAAGTAGAATTACTGCTGTGTCATTCTTCTAAATCTAAGATTGTGTAAAGCAGTTCTCTCATGACTACTTAACTAGAACTTCTATTTTAGCAACAATTGCTTGACTGTGAAACTTCTCTCTTTTGATTAATTTCTGCAACTGCTGAACCTTGGCTTTCATTTTCGTTTTTAATTGCTTGAAAATGCTTTGTTTATTTAAAGTCCTACTTTCTACTTCTTTAGGAAGAGAGGGTAAGGGTTTTCTTTCCAAATATAGTTGTGTTTTTAATTCTTCTCTTTCTTTTGCTTCATCCTCAAATCTCTGATCATTCTTTCTTAACATTTCTAATTTTTGGGCTAATTCCTCTTGCAACTTTTCATTCTTTGTTATTCCTCTTCAAGCATTTTATCAGACATTTGGAGCATTAGTGATTTTCCTTTGATTTCATCATTCAAAAGACCTTTTTGTCAATTTTTTCATTCTTCAGCTGTATCTAACGCCTCAGCAAAGCCTTTGGCATCTTTTTCCCATTTTTCAATAACTTCAATAGCAACTTCAACTGGTTTATCTCTTCCTTAAGGTAAGTATTGAGAGTTTTAGCCATATTTTCTTTTAAATTTTCAACCTGTTCTTTAAAAGGAGTTAATTCAGCAACTTTTTTTTCTAAAAGAGCATTCTTTTCTTCAAGTTTTTTATTTTGTTCAGAAACATAACTGAGAGAATTACAACTAAGTAATGTTCACTCTTTAAAACCTTTAACAATGTTTTCAAGAGTGAAATTGTTGCCAAAAATAACTTTTTCAACTCCATTTTCTTTTTGAATCTTTACTCACTCATCTTTGGGTCAAAAATGTTGTTCTAAAGTCATTAAAGTGCCAGCAATATCTGGTCTTTCACTTTCCTTAACATTGTCAATAACATTTCAAATTCTTAGTTTAAAATCATCTTCTTTGTTTTCTAATTGCTTTTTTAGTGTTTCTATTTCATTTAATAGTTCTTTATTTCTTTTTGTTGTTCATTTATGATGTTTGTCATGATTTTCTTGTTTGTTCCTTTTTTTTATTTATTCTTTTATGGTGCGAATCATCTAAAGACATCACGTGCTGCGCCACTTGCCAAAAATTTTTATGCTGATCTTGCTTTATAAAGAATCCAATAAATCCAAATTTGTAAAAGATCTGTGACTTTGTCACGTGAATAATTGGTAAAATTGTGAAAATAATCTGTAAATTGCAGTTTAGATATATAGTTGCCGAAATTTTAAATAAAATAGCAAAGTTACCCAACTTTAAACCATTATAACTTTTTTTTAAATTAAATAACTCAAAAAAAACTTTCTATTACATTATTTTTCATGTCTAGAATATTGCAAAAATAGAGAGTTTTTGG